GAGGAGGAGGAGGAGGAGGAGGAGGAGGAGGAGACAGAGAAGAAGAGGAAAATCTCAAACCAACAGCTTAATATTACAACTCAAGAAACTGTAAAAGAGCAAACAATGCAAAACCATCAAAAGCAATAAAATAAGAGATTAGGGTAGAGATAAACAAATATAATAGAAAAACAGTAGAGAAAATCAACTGAAAACTTTAAATGAGCTTTTGTTCTTGACTATCAGGATAAACTTGGCTAAAATCTCCGCAAGCCTTCATCCCACAACCCTTACATTGAGTGGTCTTGAAATTTCCTTCACCAGGTTAGTCTCCTGTATAGACTCAGCACATGAACAAAACATAGATGAAAATTTTGCCAGAATATAGTGCACATGATCTGGAGTTCAACTACTAGTGAAGTCCTTCTCAGCTGAAGAGTCCTGAACCTAGCCATCACCATCTGCATTTCTATGCACATTCTGGTCTTCTGAAATTGACCAAAATCCCCCATCAAGCCTGATGTATCTCATTCTAAGGACTTTTTTCACCACCAGGCATCTCCAAATATTTTCAAGTCCTGCAAAGAATCAATTCCAAAAGCTTCTAAGTTACATGTTCAGATAATGACACCAACACCACCACTAATCCTGTACCAAAATATGTCTTAGTCACTTTTCTTGTTGCTAGGACACAATATCAGACATTCACTCACATTTCAGTCCATAGCTGGCTCACTCCAAGGCAGAGGTGCATGATGCAGGAGAGCTGCTCATGGCATCAGAAACCCATGACTCCTGAAAAGCACATATGTTTTGGAATTAGCAAATTAGCTACATGATTTGTGTGGCAAAACACTCTAGAATCAGAATACTTTAAAATAGAGGTCTTCAAAAATAATGAGTAATTCTTATTAGATTTAAAAAGTACCTCTGGGTGACAGTTTTGGCATATATTTTTTATAATACAACTACTGTTGCATCTATTAAAAACCAGGGAAAATTGAAGCAAATACACTGAAACCTAAAATCGATGAGGACACTCAGCCAATCCTGGAGAGTTTCAGCAGAATGGTATCTGGAGGTGTGTTTGTGATATCACAAGTTCCACCTCTTCCTGTAACTGACCTGTACCCACCAAATCAAATCAGAGATCTCGATGCCACACTTCATGGGGATGAAGTCTGCCTGACATGGACAGCACCAGGAGATGACTTTGATATTGGAAAAGGTAAGGGTGAAGTGTATTGGGTTATAAATGAAAAGTATTCTTTACAAAAGTGAAGGTGTAAGGGTAGGTGAAAGAACACTTTTAAACTGACAGTGCAGCAAGGTATTAATTTCATAATCTGATACTTTGAGTCAATCAAACAAGACACATATCTACATGATCCCAACTTTTCTTGCAAACAAGGTAGCATTTGAAAAATTTATGTTATTTATCAAAATGTAGATATTGGTACAGATACAAATATCAGCTTTGTATGAGTCATTACTTTTATAAGAGTAAATGGAAAGGAATTTAAATGTTATAGTTCCTAAATTGCTCACATTTTCTCTCCTTAGTTCAACAGTATACCGTAAGAATCAGCAGAAGTATACTTGATCTAAGAGACCATTTTGAAGATGCTCTTCAAATTAACACTACTAATCTGTTACCAAATGAGGCCAACTCCAAGCAAACTTTTACATTTAAGCTAGAAGCAATCTCAGAAGTTAATACAACCCATTTATTCATTGCCATTCAAAGTGCAGACAAAAACAATCTGACATCCAAAGTATCCAATATTGCACAAGTAGCTTTGTTTACTCCCCTGGGAGATCCTAGTCCCCATGAAAGTCATCAACATCCTGCAGCTAACATTCCTACCTTGGTGTTATTTGTGGTTGGCTCAGGTTCAATTGTTTGCCTTATTTTAAGTGCCACCATTTATATTTTAAAGAAGAAGAAAAATGCAAGTAGACTCAGAACTGGGTTTTAAGAAAATCAAAGAAACTGAAACATGTCTATGAATATTTTAATTCTGCTTTGTATAATTATCTCATAAAAATAATTTTAAGAGGTTTAAAAACAATACATTGATTAAATAAAACATCCTGATATATTTGAAATAAATACTAAATC